CGAATTATTAACAGGGGAAACAGCAACAGACGCAAAACTGCTTGAGAAAGGTCAGATTATCATCAGCACTCCAGAGAAATGGGATGCTTTATCCCGCCGCTGGAAACAGAGGAAGCCTGTTCAACAGGTTAGTCTTTTTATTATAGATGAACTCCACTTGATTGGTGGTCAGGGTGGTCCCATCTTGGAGGTAATAGTCTCTAGAATGAGATACATAGCCAGTCTATCTGAGAACAAGATTCGTATTGTGGCTCTTTCAACTTCTCTTGCGAATGCAAAGGATCTTGGAGAATGGATAGGAGCTAGCTCTCATGGCCTTTTCAATTTTCCTCCTGGTGTGCGCCCAGTGCCTCTGGAAATACACATTCAGGGGGTGGACTTAGCCAATTTTGAAGCAAGGATGCAAGCAATGGCAAAACCCACATACACTGCAATTGTCCAACATGCCAAGAATGGGAAACCGGCTCTTGTGTATGTTCCTACAAGGAAACATGTCCGGCTAACTGCTATAGATCTGATGACTTACTCAACTGCAGACGGTGGGGAGAAATCGTCGTTTCTGTTGCGGCCTGTAGAGGACATAGAGCCTTTCGTTGAAAGAATTAGTGATGAAATTTTGAGAGGCACTTTGCGCAATGGAGTGGGCTACTTGCATGAAGGATTAACCAGTTTGGATCAAGAGGTTGTGTCACAGCTTTTTGAAGCTGGGTGGATTCAAGTGTGTGTCATGAGCAGTTCAATGTGTTGGGGTGTGTCATTGTCAGCCCATTTGGTGGTTGTGATGGGAACCCAATATTATGATGGCCGGGAAAATGTTCACACTGATTACCCTGTTACTGATCTATTGCAGATGATGGGTCATGCCAGTCGACCTCTGCTAGATAATTCTGGGAAATGTGTCATCCTCTGCCATGCACCTCGCAAAGAATACTACAAGAAGTTCCTTTACGAAGCATTCCCTGTTGAAAGCCATTTGCACCATTACCTACATGATAATCTTAATGCAGAAGTTGTTTCTGGAATAATTGAGAACAAGCAAGATGCTGTTGATTACCTTACCTGGACCTTCTTGTACAGGAGGCTCACACAAAATCCCAACTATTACAATCTTCAGGGAGTTACTCAGCGGCATCTTTCTGATCATCTCTCAGAGCTTGTTGAAAATACTCTGAGTGACTTGGAAGCCAGCAAGTGTGTTGCTATTGAGGATGACATGGACCTTTCTTCTTTGAATCTTGGCATGATAGCTGCATATTATTATACCAATTATACTACCATTGAGCGTTTCAGTTCTTCCTTAACTTCGAAAACAAAGATGAAGGGTCTTCTTGAGATTCTAACTCACGCTTCAGAGTATTCACAACTTCCTATTCGACCGGGGGAGGAAGAGGTGCTTCGAAGGCTAATTAACCACCAGAGGTTTTCCTTTGAGAATCCGAAATGCACAGATCCTCATGTTAAAGCAAATGCTCTGCTTCAGGCCCACTTCGCAAGGCAACATCTGGGTGGGAACCTAGCATTGGACCAGCGAGATGTGATCATTTCTGCAAGTCGGTTGCTTCAGGCAATGGTTGATGTCATTTCCAGCAGTGGCTGGCTAAGCCTTGCGATATTAGCCATGGAAGTCAGCCAGATGGTGACTCAGGGAATGTGGGAGCGCGACTCAATGCTTCTACAGCTACCTCACTTCACAAAGGAGTTGGCAAAGAGATGCCAAGAAAATCCTGGAAAGAGTATAGAGACTGTATTTGATTTGTTTGAGATGGAGGATGATGAGAGGCGCGAGCTACTTCAGATGTCAGATAAGCAGTTGTTGGATATTGCAGAATTTTGCAACCGTTTTCCCAACATTGATCTGACACATGAGGTGCAGAAGAGTGATAATATAAGGGCCGGGGCAGAGATCAGTCTGCAAGTCACTCTTGAGCGTGACCTTGAGGGGAGGACAGATGTGGTCACAGTTAATGCTCCGAGATATCCGAAGGCCAAAGAGGAGGGGTGGTGGCTTGTAGTTGGGGATACCAAGACTAATTCATTGCTTGCCATCAAGAGAGTTTCCTTTCTAAGGAGGACAAAGGTGAAGCTTGAATTTGCTGCTCCTTCAGAAGCCGGAGAGAAGAATTATATCCTTTATTTCATGTGTGATTCATATTTGGGATGTGATCAGGAATATGAGTTCACTGTTGACGTTAAAGATGCAGCAGGGCCTGATGAGGACAGTGGGAGTGAATGAGAGAGATGTTTATTAGATTCTGAATACTTTGCTTGTTTCTGAATATGTTTTTAATTCCCGCTGTTTCTAAAAGAATTATATGTTTTTACTTCCCTCTGAATGATGAAAGTACACTACAGTTTTGGAATGGCGCATGATCATATCATATGTTCCTTCATTTCCTTCTGCGTTGTCATTTGTCATCATACATAAATCTGGGAAAGAGAGTCTGCCTGAGTAGCTGCTGCTTTCTATTCTATCAGTTTTTTCTCTATTGAATTGAATATTCCTTTTGGCCTTTGTGCCTTTACTTGTTTCTGCATGAAGCGGTGTGGCAGTGCAAGGAATTTAGCAATCTTATAATAAACACTTTGCGAAACTTAGCTTGCCTCCGATTTTGGTGAACAGGTTGCAGCAACCTGTAAATTGTAATGCCTCCATTTTTTGCTTTCCAGTTCGTGCCGAGTCTATAATATTCTTCTTCGGGTTTTTATGAAACTAATCCGTTGACAATGAAGGGAAAAACTCAAAAACCTCTTCGCATCAGTCTAGAACTATTTGAACAGATAATTATGAAGGATTTATTGACACTTGAAAATTGAGTTTCGTTTTACATATGCATGATGAAGAAAACTAGACACTTCCTTGTAGTGGAAGGAACAATATCCGAATGGACCCAAAAGAAGAAGAAGAAAGATATCCCAACGGTGGATACATCATGCATACATAATATGAAATGGGAAATACAACCAAAATTGAAATACAAGAATGGGACAGGACAAATGATCAAATGATGGGATCAGTGCTTGTTCTTGGTATTCATGCTCTTCTTGACCTGCTCTGCGTTCTCTTTAACGAACTCTTTCGATTCTTCGGCCTTGCCCACTACCGTGTCTGCGGCCTTCTGGGCTGTGCCCTTAGCTTGGCTCCATGCATCTTGCGCTGTCTGCTTTGCTTTCTCAGACACATCTTGTGCTGTTGTAGACACCTTGCCAGCCATGTCTTTGGTCGTCTGGGTTACCTGCATTCACACCATGAAATTAAATGACAACCTAGGGCCTGCAACCTATACATATAAAGAAATTAAAAAAAAGATAAAGAAAAAAAACAGAGACTTATCGTTTACATTTTCAGCAGCATTCCTAGCTTCATTGGCTACTGAAGCTGCGTCTTGCTGTGATGAACTTGCCTATGAACAATCATGAACCATAAAATTATAATTAAACATGTAGAAATTGGTGATATATTCGATTCGAATAGAGAGCAAATTGAACTTACTTGAATACGTCTTGGGGCAGTAGCCAAAAAAATACTAGGAGTTGTTGAAGTGGCTTTCCTTGCAGCATGGCCAAATTTCAAGAGGCTGGTAAAAAGAGTTAGGTTTGCCATCTTTGTCTGATTACTTAGTTGCTTCTTTTTTCTTTTCTTGTATTGAAATTTGAAAGAGGACATTGTAAGAAGCAGAGTATATAAAGAAGCAAGAGAACTCGATAAGGTCCTGTTGTGCAGCATGGAGAGTATTTTGCGCTGATATGAATGGTTAGAAAACTGTCCTTTAACGGTCAAACAGACCCAGTATTATAGGACATACAGTTAATTAGCAATGGGATTCATTGTCACTAACACTAAATTAGTCTGAGTAATAGAAATACTTAAGGTGGTAGTGATATTATTTTAACATCCTTCGCATCACGAGATAGATCGATCATCCTCTTAATCTTAACCTTTCCCCATTAATATAGTTGTTACATTACATTAAACCATTCAATTAACAGTTGAAGCTGATCTGAGACATGATTTAGTACACAGACTACTAGAAAGATGATCCTTATCTATGAAATATATATATATATAAATTCTCAAGTGCGGACATCCGGATGTTATTATTGTGTGGACGCCTTGTATTTTCTACTATCCCTCACTTCTTTATTTGTTGGCCTATGCATGTCATTCACAAGCACAACAACGTACATGAAAAGGAAACATGAAAAGATTGCTTGGGATCAAATGGTTCCTGGCATTAAAGCCTATGCTTGTTTCTTGTACAACGAGCTTTTTTAGGAATGTAAATTGATAAATGACGCGTCTACTCTAATATGAAAGGATCAAACTGTTGACATAAAGGATTGAATCTTTCTTGATTTGATTTATTGATCTGATCTGATTATTATGATGATGTTCTAGTAGTAATATTCAAGGTTGAATCAAGTAATTAATCTCCAATATCATTTTCTTGGCCTGATTATTCTCAAGATTTGACTGTCCAAATCTTTTGATTCATAATTGACTGGGATTGTCCTCGTCCGCCAGCTGTAAATTTTATTAATATTTCTAATGAAAATATACATATACATTATGCCTTGACCACGACGGATGGATACACTCATTGTACATTTGATTTCAAAAGCTAGCTGGCTTACCTAGGCTAGGGTTGCCCCATCGCTTTGTAAAGCTTTGGAATTTCTTGATGAACCAAACTACAATTATTTGGGATCTGTTAAATCAATTTCCAGAGTATAATCAATAATCGTGTGGTATAAGGGTCCACACGCAGGTTTAATTAGTATTGAACACACAAAACTTAAAACTTGGGGCAAGAAATAATGCCAAAGATATACCATAATTTATATTATGAGAATTGTGAACAGTCCGACTTGGGAGGAAAATTCCTGAATCCGACACTATATGTACATAGCTTTTGAAATAAAGTCATATATATATATATATTAAGGGCTACATTGACTAATTACTTTTGAAGATGAAGAAGATGAAAAAAAAGAAAATGACGATGGTGATGGTGATGATGGTTTGCTTGACAGCGGCAAACGTAGCATGGGGGCAACCGAAGCCCGGGTGCTCAGGCAGCTGTGGCAATCTCACCAACATTCCCTACCCTTTCGGCACATCTCTAGAATGCTCTTTCGATGAAACCTTTTTGATTTCTTGTAACGACACCACATATCAAAATGGAGGCCATCACAAACAAGCATACTTCCCCAACAGCTTCATACCCATCACCAACATATCACTCAGAGATCACGAATTGCGAGTGTCCGGTCCCATTGCCCGAGACTGTTACTACGCAGACGACGAGGAGTACGACCGCCACGCTAACGTTGTCATGCAAACTAACTCCAAATTTCCAGTCTCAAGCAAGCGCAACGTGTTGGTCGCTATCGGGTGCGAAGCAATCGGGGCCATCGAAAGCCCGATAAATTACGATGCCTTGTTGAATAATGCAAACTTGAGCAGCTCCTCCGTGGGGAGGATGAGAGCTGGATGCTTGTCACTTTGCAGCCAAGTAGAGGAAGTGAAGAATGGGACTTGCTCTGGAGCTGGCTGTTGCCAGATATCCATAGCAGACGGCGTCATAGATTATTCTCTCATGGCTGAAAACTTGTTCAACCATTCCGACTTCAACCCCTGCGATTATTCTTTCGTTGTGGAAGTGGGCGCCTACAGCTTTTCGTCTCTGGATCTTGTAGACCTGCAGAAGAGAGAGTCTTTTCCTGTGGTGCTCGATTGGGCTGTTGGGAATTACCAGTCTTGTGAACAAGTCAACAACAGCAGTACTGCATGCCAGTCAACGCATAGCGAATGCTACAATTCAACCAACGGCCCTGGCTATCGCTGCAAATGCCTGGAGGGTTTTCAAGGCAACCCTTACCTCGTTGATGGCTGCCAAGATATTAACGAGTGCGAGATTTGGAACCTCTGCGTTAGCCAAGCGACATGCCACAACAACGTTGGAGGCGTAGAATGCCGTTGTCCAAAGGGACACATTGGAGACGGCTTGATAAGTGGAAAAGGTTGCATCCTAAAAGATGACAAATATCTAAGATTTGCTATTCCAATGGGTACGTAATTAAGTTTCTTAATCTTAATTATGTTCTTCATTTGTTAATTCACAAGTATATATATATATATATATATATATGTGTGTGTGTGTTATATAAAATAACATTGTATTTACTTGCTGCTCAGGTTTTTGCCTATGCCTTTTGGCGGTTCTTATAGGAGGTTTGTGGATCTATTGGGGACTAAAGAGAAGAAGGTTCATGAAGCTCAAAGAGAAATTCTTTAGACAAAACGGTGGCCTTCTGTTACAACAACAGCTCTCTGATCATAAAGGATCCATTGAGATGATTAAAATTTTTACTGCAGAGGAGCTCAAGAGGGCAACCAAGAACTATGATGAGAGTATGGTGCTTGGCCAAGGAAGTTTTGGAACAGTTTACAAAGGAACTCTGCTAGATAACAAGGTGGTTGCCATTAAGAAGTCCAAAGTCTGCGACAAGAATCAAATCGAGACTTTCATTAATGAGATGATTGTCCTTTCTCGAGTCAACCATCGCAATGTCGTCAAGCTTTTAGGTTGTTGTTTGGAGACAGAAGTGCCCCTGCTCGTTTATGAGTTCATCACAAACGGGACACTTTACAGCCACATCCATGACAGGACCCAAGATTCTTGCTCAGCACTTTCATGGAAAATGCGTCTTAAAATTGCAACAGAAATTGCAGGGGCACTTGCCTACTTGCACTCTGAAACTTGTATACCTATCATACACAGAGATGTCAAGACTGCAAACATATTGTTGGACGAGGATTACATAGCAAAGATGTCTGACTTTGGAACTTCGAGGCTCATCCCGGTGGATGAAACTCAGTTGACAACGTTGGTGAGGGGAACATTTGGATATTTGGATCCAGAATACTCTCAGAGCAGCCAGCTAACAGAAAAGAGTGATGTTTATAGTTTTGGGGTTGTTTTGGTGGAGCTACTAACGGCTAAGCAGGTCATTTCTTTTGCAAGGCCAGAGCGCGAAAGAAATCTAGCAATGTATTTTGTTTCTCAAATGAATGCAGATCGTTTGCTTGAAATTCTTGATGATCAAGTTCCCCTCAATGAAGAAATTATCGAGCAGCTAAGGGAAGTTGCTGACCTTGCAAGTAAGTGTTTGAGGATGAGAGGAGAGGAAAGACCTGCTATGAAGGATGTCACGGCAGAGTTAGAAAGAATAATTAATACTAATTAGATATAAACTTAAGTCTCTAATGATCTATGTTTTCAGTTTAGGCAACTTAGCTCCTTTTTGAGGAGTTGATGTTTAACTGTTTAGTTAGCTAGGCCACTTAATATATGCTTCCTGTATTGTATGTTTCCGAGCAGCTTTTGTGTTTCATTTTCCCCATGATCTCATCCTACATGAATGAGCTCTCTCTGTATCATGAATGATCAATTCATCAAACATTCTGAAATTGAGTTTATGTTTATTTGTTTATTCACCAACTCTTGTTGATCTTGTCTTGAGGAAACCTGCATCATCAATTCCTCAGTACGAGCATAGAGATATCCATTCATTTTCAGAGGCATTGAAATCACTTTCGAAAGCGAAACTACCAACACGAATAAATAACTTTAAAAAATAGAATACCAACTTCTTGATGGAAAAAAACAAACATTGTATCAATTATTTCCACCCTCATATAATTTCATCATTAGTTAATAGTGATAAGGGAGACCAACATTAGAAGCATCGAGAAAAATCTATACTACAAATAAATTACTGTTAAAACAAAGATAAACAAAGAAGGAAATAACAGAAAAGGCTGAATCAAAATTCAACCATTAAACTCCAGGTGAGCTGGATCCCACTGACTTCCAGAGCTTCACCCAATCCCCCATGGCATCAGCAGCACGAGCAAACATAGGATCTACCTTTCCCAACTGCTCCTTCACCGACTTTGCCATATCAACAACACAGTCTTCTGCTGTAACAGCTGTTTGGGGTAACCTAACCGACTGAAAGAAAGGAACCACTTCCTCCATCAGCTTCACCCCTTCCCACTCTTTCTTCAAGCTTTCAATGGCATCACCTCTTTCCCTTCTCCATACATAAGGTATCCCACTTTTTACACCAAGTCCCAGGTGATCACATATAACCTTAACACACATTCCAGACCATATATCTTCCACTGTCTCCCACCTCAACTTTCCTTCCCCTGCCAACCTCAAAGCCGGGAACAAAGCTGGCCCTACCACCTCACGATTGAAAGCAATGTTGATACCACTTACAGGCATTAAGGATCTCAATGGAACAGTCATTACAGCATCCACATATCGAGAATTCCTCTGCCCTGGCTTGAGGGCCTGTGTTGGTGCATCATAGTCTGCCAAATTAAGCCACAGTCCACATGATAGTGCACATGTAACCCCACTCCTCAGGCTAAATGGGTAACCACGAACAAAATCTGCCCCTTTCCGGTAAGGATCATAGAGTGTGTTAAAAAAGAAAGGGGTCGCTGGAGCTTGAAGATTGGCAATATGCTGTGCCACTACATCTACTAAATCACCATTTGTGTCCCTAGCGGGAATGCAATCATCATCAATTGAGATAATATATTTTTTCCGCGATACTAAATAACCAAAGTACCTGCACGAGTAACCAGAGAAGAGAATGGAAGTGGAAGAGCCCACCACTCGGTCTATGTCAGACTTAGTAAAGACATCCACATTAAACCCTTCTGGAATGCGGAGCTCCCCATTCATATCAGGGTCTTTGACAATAATCAGGTGGAACTGGGAGAATACTGGTCTCCATTCATTCATGAATGGCTCCAGGTCGGAGTTGATTGCCGCAATCACGATGTCAACCTCATTATTGTTGATGCTTGTGTTAGACATCTTCAAACAGGCGTTGAGAGAACAAGAAACAACAAAACTTGTGTGGCCTTGTTTAATTAAAGGACCTTTGCCTTCAAAATGTTATACAATGTGCTCACACAACACCACCCAATCTCAAAACCTTTCAGAGCATCCTGCAATAGATACTTGAAGGTCAGAACTGAAGTGTGCCAAAAGCAGTTCACGGGTTACAGGAAAGGCAGGACACTGGAAATTCTCAAACATAACTTACTGGTAGGAAAGACAGGGGTGAGGGTATGCCGAATATTAAGTGCCTGGATTAGTGAGAGGATTTCATCTTTGCCAGTTTCTTTGAAAAGCTTCAAGACTTTCTCATTTAGCTTTCCAGCTCTCAGAGTTTTCTGCCATGAAATTGAGTGTTACTATAAGATGTTCATGTAAACCAAATACGTAATTATAGAGGAAAGTAAAAGGGGTAAATAGAACGCTTAGAAAGGCAAAATGATGAAGGTATAGCTGCAAAAATCAACAAATGTCCCAAAAGCCATATAACAGCATAGAAGCCAGAAGTAAAAAAGGACCACAGCACCAGACTAGGAAAGAATAATATTCTGTTTTCTTTTGATTTGATATGGAGCACAGTTTGATCAAGTTGGGGTCCGGGGTAGGGGATGTCTTTTTCACTGTGCTAAATAAACTTTATCCATCGGTGATCAATCAATGGGAACAATATTTTACAATATCTTGCAGCGTATTACAGAAATCTTGATCATTAATGTACAAGCAGTTCACATAGGTCCATGAGTGACCACGTGGACCCAGACGACAAACAGATCCAATATAAGCATAGACAAAATCATCAAATTCAAACGATAGAAACCCAAAAAGGTAGAAATCCCTATATAGAATCAGACCCTTCCTCCTCTGAGCACAAAAAAACCTAATCAAATAATCATGCGAACCAAAACAATCAAGTAACTTAGAATAACATACATCCAACCACCATTGATTAACATGAAAAGTTTCAAAATTTAATATCGCACCAAATCAAGCCTGCCCAGTTCCCCATAACAGAAAGCAACCCATCAGGCGCCTCAAAGAAAATAAGAACAAGCATAGCAATTCATGTTAGCTGAATTAGCAGAGAGAGAGAGAGAGAGAGAGAGAGAGAGAGAGTACCAGGAAGAGATCGATGAGAATGTGTTCAGGGAGAGTTGAGAGATCGGATATGCTGGATAGGTTGAAGAGAGCTGAGTCAATTGTGAGAGAGAGCAGAGAAGGCGGAGTTCTCATTCACTCATTCATATAAATATATTTGTGCGTGCGTAAATTTCGGCGAGATTGCAGACTGCAGAGAAGAAGATGATGAGGGAGAATTAAAAGAGGCCTTTGTTTTATAGTTTTGGAGATTAATCTGATTGTGTTTTCTCCGTCCCAAGGTCAAGGCCCTCAAGGCCATTGGCCACCTGTGTTGCTCACAACCGACACTATTTCATTTTTAATTTAATTTAATTTAATTTAATATATATTCCAATAAAGTTTACGTAGAAAACAATTGAAACCCAGTGGGCTTTGTGAACTCAATGCCGTCCAGTTGTTGCTGTTGGGTTTCTAAAATTCGTTTTGGGAGTTGGCTAAATACACCCACCCAATTTAGTTACTACACCCAACTCGCAAAACAGTTTCTGAAATTTCCAATTTAGCTCTTCGTTTCTAAATTATTCAGTTCGTATAGTTTTGTTTGATTTATCAATTTTAATTTAGAGCCGTTTAGAAACTTTAGCAAGTTTAGTGGGCAATTGAAGAAGCAAACAGCATGAGATTCTTTATCAAACGGCAGAACCAATTCATTTACAAAGATTCAAAATACAGATAGTTTATGACTTTTCTTTTCTGAGACTAATACACACATAACATCCAACTGGAAAGTTGAAACAGATAAAACAACAAATCTACACGGGATCAATTCAGTCTAGTTTAACTCCAATTATGGACATGAGAAACCGAAGTTTGTCATTGACTTGTGCAAGATCAGGATGGTCACCAAATGATGCAGGAGGTTCCACACCAGTGAAGAGGTAAAGAGCCTTGAGTTCCTCTATGCATGTTGCATGGGGTGTGGCTTTGTATCCTACTATTCTTCGCATAGCATCAATCTGTCTCCATATTTTCGCCTCATTGTACAGTACCTGAAGATGCACCAACTCCATCAGCTAAGTGAAGTCACATTAAATTTATATAATAAAAACAATTTACAACCATAGATACACTTCATCAGCAGAGTAATCACAGAAGTGATCAACAGTTTTTCCTTCTAAATAATCCGCACAACAAATCTTTTCTATCAACAACTCAAACGAAAACGAATCAACCCTTTTATCTGAGATCACCAAAAGAGTCGTCACACCCATCATGTAATTGAATGTTGTCATGCAACAAAGAAGTAAATGTACTTGAGCATGCAGATGGACTCAAAAAGAACAGTAAGAGGAGGAGAAATCGGTGTAAGGATAGGGATAAAGAATTCGCAATGGTGCAAGAGATACCCTATTTTATTTTTGTAATATATTATGCAAACAGTGACCAGGTAGAATTAGCTTTGATGATTGAAGTAGAGAATAATCAATGACAATAAGAGGAAAGGAAAGACACATAACTTCTGCATTTGTTATGCCTAATAAATTATGAACTATAATATATATAAGATTATTTATGGTCCAAAGATGTATATATTAATCAAGCTGTAAAGTCTAACCCCGTTTGGATGCATGCTGACGTCCTTTCCAGAAGATATCACAGCATCTGTAGATTCATGTGCCCTGTGTGAAACAGGAAGCTCTGCGAAATCTGCACCTTCATCCACCCCATGACCTGAAGGTTCTCCAAAATTATCAGTTAATAATCATAGAATTAGTGGAGTGGGGAACAAATTTGTCCTAAGAGAAAGGATATGAAATTACTTTGATGATTTTTTATCTTTACCTTTAGAAGTTTCATAAGAAGTATATTGCTGACCAGATACATTCTTCTCATCAAACAAATGAAGCCCACTTTCATCAGCAATCTCTCTTGCATCTGCATTTGAGGAAACCACAGTTTCCTTCTCTCTGATCAACTGAAAATCTAAGTTATTGACATTATCCTCTGCTCTCCCTCGTTGTAGTACTATTTCCTCCTTGCTTATCTCAGGCTTTTGCTTGTCTTCCACGACGCTGCTCATCACAGGCCTCAAATTTCTCGTTTCTGCCTCTGACGTGTTGCCAACATCATTGGCTTCCCCTATTGGCTTCTCTGCCTCTAAATTATTGTCAGCATTCTTGCTTTCCAAAACACTCCCTATATCTCCAGTTGGTTTGACATGCCCAGAAACAGTAGTAGTGTTTGCATCGTTCACATGTTTCATTTCTTGGCGTTCTTGCATATCTTCACACTCGTTCGGAACTCTGCCTACTCCGCCGTTCATGGTACCAGTAGGTTTTTCTAATCCAATATCCGAAATTTTATCTTCAACTAGTATCTCCCTCTCTTCCGCATTCCAATCAAATTGTTGATCTCTTACCTCCCACTTAGCCCCTTCAACTTCTCCTGCATACTGCTTTTCCATATCCATTGCATTATCAGCATTGCCTTCATCCCTAATTTTTTCTAGCAATTCCCTTGTCTCTTCCACCAATTCCTCCTCTTCTGCAGTGTTACTTGCAGTTTCTTGATACCCACTTTCTTCCATTACTACGGCAGTCACTTCAATTGGTGTCAGTCCTATTTCCTCAGCACCCTCAACTACATTCGACACTAATCCGTACATGTCGCTGACTGAATTCTCATCTAGCAGGGTATCATCCTTATAATCCTGAATCAGTCCTTCAATATTCACCACATTAATGTTATCAAATATGAGCATTTCCTCCACATCCGTAGCCTCTCCAACATCTTCCTCATATCTATTTTCATCTTCAGCAAAATATTCTTGTGCATTCTTCTTAACACCCTCTTGCACACACTCATCCCCCTCCTCAATTCTCCCTTCCTCAAAAATTTCCTCATTTTCCTCCTCTACTAATTCGATTCTCATCTCGCCTCCTTCTAGTATATCCCCACTACCCCATCCTTCCTCCTTTTCGGTATCAATCTTTCCTCCTACCCATGTACTCTGTTCCTCACCCTGCTCTTCTTCTTCTTCATCATCATTTGACATTAATGTGCCATTTTCCAACAAAACAGGAGGTGTACTATAAGGAAGCAACTTATTCATGAGCTTCACAATGCAAGCATAACTTGCCAAGACAACGGCACATGGAACACAAAAGGCAAAGCCAATTGCTGAAATAACCACAAGCGGTGGAAGAACCAATGGTGCAGAAGAAATTACAATACCAGTGACCAGAATTTTTTTTCCAAGTCCCAACCCCTTGTTCATGATCCAACTCACCCTGCTACTGTTAGCTTCAGCCCTGTCGTCTTCAATCTCTGCCGCCCCCTCACTCGGGTCTCCCATCCTCTGTCTATATATAGCAACGAAATAAATTTTGGAAGATAAATTGTTTCATTTGAATTGCTTGGAAATTGATCGAACAGAAAAAATAAAATTCAACAGAAAAAGAAGTCTCCAACTATTGAAGGGCATCGTCATCTAGCACGCAAGCTCGCCAAATGACACTAACCCAAGTAATGACAAATAAAATTGAAGCAAACATGAGAATTACTCATGATTTTTCTAATCAATTTTTTAGTGATCAAATCAAAGACATGATGATGTGGTGCTCAGGAAAATGAAAGAAAAGTCGGAATTAAGGCGGCCAATGAATCAGAATGTCGAAATTAATTAACCATTAAATCTTGAATTTGATTCTTCCCCAGAAATATTAGTTCTAGCAATGAAGCAAATAAATAAATCTTAAAGCGTAAACTTACCTGAATTTGGGGTTCTATTCTATGTATATGTAGCTGCTACTTAGCTTGACTTGATCTCAAGCTGAAATACAAATGTCGGAGCAGGAATTAGCTTGACTTGATCTGTATCAGCTATGGTTTTGTAATTGAAGGAAGCAATGCCTCATATGCTATGCATCATGCATCTTTATGGAGTTTTATAAATAGCTCTCTCAGACTCAGAGTCTCAAGTCATAGAACCCTAAGAAAAAGGACCCATACAAGAAGATAAAGGGGTTTAGAGCAGACGGCGGATTGACACGCGTCGGGAGAAGGGCATTGACAGTTGCAACTTGCAAGCTAAGGACAAGGCAAGTACTCTTTATCTCATCTGCTACTGCTACTGCTTTTGCTTTTCCCTATTGCATGCAGCATGCAGCATGCAGGTGCGGCGGCTGATGATAATAATTGATCAACTCTCAACGTGGCTGCATATAACAACACCACCTGCACCTCCGCCTCTGACTAGGCAGGCAAATCTTGTTATTGAGCATTCCATATAATACTTGCTATTTTAAACAAAATTATATATATGTAACATGTGTATTGCGGTTAAGTTTAATGTGTTACATATTTTAAGTATGTGTGAGTTAAGTTAGTTGATTAAGAAAATGTATGAGTTAAGTTAGTTGATTAAGAAAGAGTACTGCTAAACGAACCCTAAAATTAATTGAGTACACCCTACTATTAAACTATTTATTGAATTACTAATTTACCCTAATATAAAATGACTTTAAAGGATATATTGAATTGTGTACCCAATATGTACACCATCCTTAAGACTTGACGCATGCCGTTGTTATAACTATAGTCAACTCTTTAATTTTAATATTTTAAAGTATTTAAAACCAAAAAATAAAATAAAATTTTAAAAAGAGAAAAAAAGCTCTCTCTCCTTCCCGACCCACCCCACTCTGAGACGAGTTGAGATATGCTGTACCCAAATTCCCAAACTACCAAATCTCCCTAAATTAGATTGAAAACCCACACCTCTCTCGAAAGATTGAAGACAATATATTTAATTAAGAATTAAAATCTTTGTTTTACTGCTTGAGCTTTTGAACCCATGTCTTCAAACAAATTGACTTAATTTTTAACATACAACTATGTATTGAGCCCAGTTGATTTTTGTATGCATAAAACTTAAACAATCAATAACACAAATCAGGTGGTGATGATCGCACAGGAGAGAGATAAAAGAAGAAGAAGAAGAAGAAGAAGCAGGAGAGAGAGAGAGAGAGAGAGAGAGAGAGAGTTTTGTTAAAATATTATTTTACTTTATTTGTTTATTTTAAATACTTTAAAAGATTAAAAATTAAAGAGGGTGTACCATGGGTATTTTTGGTAGTTAAATAGGGTGTACTTAGTTAATTTTACATTTTAATTTAAACATTAGGGTGTACTTAGATCGTAGGGTGTACTCAGTTAATTTTAGGGTTCGTTTAGCAGCACTCTTAAGAAAATGTTTTCATCTTTTCCACTCAAATTTAAATCCATCTT